TCTATGGGTCCAACTAACTTTACAGCACTATGAAGTTCACCATAGTCAGCTTGTTGCTCCGAGACACATTTCTTTGCATATTCATTAACTTCTACAGTATGTTGCCTAATTATTGTCTGTGATGCCTGTGATATAAGCAAATATTTAATTATGGTAGTGGCTAAATTATATCGCAGTGTACCTAACCCCTAACCTTTCCAATAATCACATAATGTACCCAGTCTTACAATTTCTCACTACTGTGATAAACTGGAATAATAAAATATTGGATAGAGCGTGGATTTTCTTTAACAGATATTCTTTGCCTGTTTCACTTACTGTCAGGCCTCCTTGCTTGCAAATAATCTTTATGACCAATAAAGTTGAACTGCCAAAGGAATGTTCTTAAAAAAGACTTCTGACTCTTAATGGGTATGGTGACAGGCAGGTCTGCTTGGGGTGAGTACAATGTTCAACGGTGAACAAAAAAAAAAAAAAGAACTAAAAAAAGGCAGACAATGGAGGAGAATGACATATTGTATCTGAATAAAACTTTTTTCCCTTATTTTAAATAATCTACTCACAGATTCTACAACTCATTGCCAAATACTGCCAGAGGCTCGCCCCTAGTGGGACCCCCATGGTGATGCCAAACCAAAGAAAGCATGTATTGCCACAATTTTACTTTGTAAGATAATTTTGTAGCACATTCAAAACTATCCAGGATACCTAATCTCATTTTTAAAATTTTCTTTGTTAAATTCAAGCATCATACTGATCTGTATTGCATGTGACTTAAAGAGATGAATCATCTGCTGAAAGCTCACATATTTGTCTCTCAGTTAATTAAATGTACTGAAATAGATGCCAATTAATCTTATAAAGCCTCATTTTCCTGGAAGTTAATCGTGAAAAAGCTTCTTCTTTGATATAAACGCACCGCTAGAGATAACAGAGCTGTTGTAGCCAATTTTGGAGTTTGCTTCACTATTGCAGTTTTGGAGTAGAAGGCTGTTTATTAAAAGTTATGCTGTCATCTTCCACTGTGATAAACTGAACTTGAAAGAGATAAATTATACAAGAATGTGACTACATAAATTAGAATGTTGCTGAAATGTGCAGGGTGTGGGCAAAATAGACATACAAAGATTTTTATTTTTAAAATAAGGTACAGTTGCAAAGTTGAGTCACATTTCTTTGATATTTCTGTCCTATTGTTATTATCTCACATGCTCAGTGCCACATAGTGAGGCCTTTCCTACTCTATAAGTGTAGTGGTCACCTTCCAGTATATTAGTTCATTGCAATCAACTTTATATGCAGCTCCTGTTATTTTAGTAAACTTCTGGTGTGCCATTATATAGGTTGTTTTAGCTTAGGGCTCAATAACCAGCATAGGTTAGAGCCAAGTTATACATTAGATGCTCACTTTTGGTAGTTGGAGGTCTGGTTGCGTGTCAGATTAGAAACTACTAGAGAGGAACTAAAACACAGAGTAGAAAGACTGTATCTGAGTTCCAGTGCCACACCACAGTTTCTGCTTGTGAGAAGCTGCAATCCAGTCTGATAGGACAACAGTTGGAAGATCTCCCTGTTGCTGCTGCTGATTTTGTCTTCAGGTCTCTGACACAAAGACGGATACTTCATCATGATCATCCACAGGAGCCCCTGCAATAGATTTTGCAACAACATTCATCTGGAGGTTTTTCCAATAATAACAATATATATTTTGGGGTAAATGTACACAATTCAATTTGGACTCCTATTGGGCCTTTTGTTGATAATGCATGATTTTACATTGGATGTATGTACTATTAATAATCTTTTATTAAATAAAGCTTGATATATTTCCATACTGGTGTGCATCTATATACTTTTGGCTAATGTTATATGCAGTAGTTTCTCTTCTCCCAAATACCTAGATTATATTAATGGTTAATTTCCCAGGAATGGTATCCCCTCTGATCACAGAGACCCTGTTCTGGGTGGAGGCACTGCAAACTTTATTATTAAACCCACTCCTCCACTTAGTGAAGGTTCTGGTTCTTTTCTTTACCTACAGGTTCAGTGCAATATCCTATTTGGGGAGGGCCATTTATCATACCCCTCCCTAAAAGAGGGCTACACTAACAAGGTTTCAAAGGGACCAAAATATATGTCAGGTGCACTGAGCAATAAACTGCCATATAGGAATAAGGAAAACATTTCTTATTTTCACATTATTGAAAAACGTACACAAACATTGGCTTGTATTTTTGTGTATTTTATTATTTGGTGATTTTGACAGATAGATAAAAAGGTATTACAATAACATAACAAATGTGAAGTGACAGAACAATAAACATAATTTTGTGTATTATATTGATCCAATATGATGTTTAACAATGCCCAAGAAATGTGAAACCATTCCAATGGAGCAGGGTTACCTCTCGTGCAAGCAGTAGTAATACTAAGGGGGTACAGGGGTGGTAGGTATGCAGTCCATATCAGCTGTTGACTCTCTGAGGGTGCTATGGCCACCTTACAAAAAATGCCAGGCGGCCAGAGCACCCCCAGAGAGTCGTCACCTGCTGCTCCCCTAACAGTGGCAGTTCAGAGCCATGGGAAGTCTCCATCCTCACTCTGAGGACTGAGAGGGAGCTGTGTCTGTATTTAGGGGGAATATATGTCTGTACTGTATCAAAATGGCTATAATGGGGGTCCATCTGTACTGAGCGATCTGTGCTGGAGGGGGTTGGTAAATACTGAGGGGTCTGTGCTGGGGGGTAGTCTGTGCTGAGGGGTTTGTGCACTGGAGATCTGTACTGGGAGTAGAGGTTAATACTGAGGGGTTGGGCTGTTAGGGGGTATGTGTTCTGTGAGGGATATGGGCTTGGGGAGGGGGATTTGTACTATGAAGATATGGTCATTTTTAGTTGTACTCTGAAAAGTGGCCTATAGTGCACAGCTGCTCTAGATTCTGGCTGCTCCAGTTTTGACATAAAGGGGTTGATTTACTAAAACTGGAGAGTGCAAAATCTGTTGCAGCTCTGCATAGAAACCAATCAGCTTCCAGGTTTTATTGTCAAAGCTTAATTGAACAAGCTAAAGATAGAAGCTGATTGGCTACCATGCAGAGCTGCACCAGATTTTGCACTCTCCATTTTTAGTAAATCAACCTCTTTATGTATCAAAACTAGAGCGGCTAGAATCTGGAGCAGCCATGCATGGCTACCAATCACCTATCTTTTATTTTCAAGGACTAAATGAACACGCTGAAGATAGAAGCTATCATACACAAAACAGAAATATTTGCCCATGGGACTTTATATGAGGCATAATACATGAATAATAATGTAAACAGGAATTTGACACATGCATATAAATGTTGTTCAAAATGTCAAGCTGGTTAATAACATCAGTATAACATGTACATCAAGCTTGAATTTGCAACTTACAAACCAGCTTGAAACGTGGTCAAAAATAACATCTCCAGATGGTGACCGTTGCTCAACTACTGACCCAGAAGTAGTGGAAAGTTGAACGAGTTTCAAGCTGGTTTGTAAGTCTTGTATTAATTAGGATGCTAGTATATATATAGTATTTGTATTCCTTGTACCTTTAGAGAGTGCTTCAAAATAATTCATGTACAGTATCTGTTCTTTGGTTTATAGATCAGATGTTGGGGGCATCCACTCCTGAAGAAGTGAAGCTACACTCACGAGACGGGTTGAGTTATAGGATGCACCTTTGTTTAAATTCTAACAATCTTGTCTGTGTGAAGCATGTATAGGGAAAAGCATGTCAGCTTGTACATTTTATACTGATGTTATTAACTGGCTTGACATTTTGAATAACATTTACAGTATATATATGTGTCAAATTCCTGTTTAATAAACTGATATTTTATTATGTATGTATTATGCCTCATATAAAGTCCCATGGGCAAACATTTCTGTCTTGTGTATGATATGTATCGGGATGGAGGCATGGCATCATAGGCACTTGATCAGAATGTTATTATTATTTATGAAGATAGAAGCTGTCTGCTCTAGTTTTGATAAATTCCTCACCATTGTGTTGCACATTTCATACTCCTGACTACTGCACTCTGTATGCTGGGCTGTATTTAAAGTGGAACTTTGCACATAACAATGTGATAAAAAAAATGTTCTTTAGCAAGGAGCATACATTCAATATTAATAATTAGGCTACCAAAATTAGTGTGTGCTGTAAATTGGCTCCAGCATTGCTTCTGTTTCTTCTTGCTGGAGGCTGCCATATTGCTGAAGCCCAGAGCCCTGAGCAGTAGTAAATCTTTAGGCCGTCAGCAAATTGGCCTTTACATTTTCGGCACAATGGTAAAAAATATAGAGAAACTTATCATATGCAGAGCAGGGCGAGACAGTGTATTACTGGATTTTAAACAGTATAGGCACTTATTTTTAATGTTTTACATAACTATATTTGAAAAAGTGGTCAGCCTGAAAGGATCTAGCAGGAATTCATTTTCTGACTAATGTTCCACCTTAACATACTCTTGACCACTACATATTGAGTACATTACTCCTTAACCACTTGCCTACCAGGCACTTATACCCCCTTATTTACCAGGCCAATTTTCAGCTTTCAGCGCTGCCGCACTTTGATTGACAATTGCACGGTCATGCAACATTGTACCCATATGAAATTTTGATCATTTTTTTCTCACAAATAGAGCTTTCTTTTGGTGGTATTTAATCGCCGCTGGGCGCTTTACTTTTTGCGCTATAAATAAAAAAGTGCAAAAAAAATTTGAAAAAAAAAAAAAGTTTCTTTGTTTCTATTATAAAATTTTTCAAACAGGTATTTTTTCTCCTTCACTGATGTACGTTTATGAGGCAGCACTGATGGGCACTGATACGCGGCACTGATGGGCACTGATAGGCAGTACTAATGAGGTGGCACGGATAGGCGGCACTGATAGACAGCACTAATGAGGTGTCACAGATAGGCGGCACTAATATGCAGCACTGATAGGCGGCACTGATAGGTGACACTGATGATGGGTACTGATAGATGGCACTGACTGGCATCACTGCTGGGCACTGACTGGCGGCACTGACTGGCACAACCCCTGGGCACTGACTGATGGCACTGACTGGCAGCACTGCTGGGCTGCACTGGTGGGTGGCACTGGTGGGCAGCACTGGTGGGTGGGCACAGGTGGGTGGCACTGGTGGGCACAGGTGGGTGGGCACAGGTGGGTGGCACTGCTGGGCACAGGTAGGTGGCACTTCTGGGCACAGGTGTGTGACACTGCAGAGTGGCACAGGTGGGTGCACTGCTGGGCACAGGTGGGTGCACTGCTGGGCACAGGTGGGTGATCTGCTGGGCACAGGTGGGCGGAGCTAGTGGGCGCACTGCTGGGCACAGGTGGGCGGAACTTGCGGGTGGCACTGCTGGGCACCGATCATCAGGGCACTGATCATCAGTGCCCTGATGATCGGTGCCGATCCCCGCTCTGACAACTGCCGGTTCTCGGCAGTACTTTCCTCACAATCTGACAGCGTGAGGAAAGTACAGCCGAGAACCGGCACCCTTGCATTTCCCTCTGATCAGCATGTCATTGGACACCGCTGATCACGTGGTAAAAGGCCGCTGTGATCGGCCTTTTACCACATCACGGAGATCGCCGGGTGCGCGTCATATGACGTCCACCCAGAACTGGCCGGCCGCAGTGCAGCCGTCATTCGGCTATCTGCGGTCGGCAACTAGTTAAGATAGGCTGTGTGTAAAAAAGCATATGTAAAGAAACAATTTCCTTTTGTTAAAATAAGTGTGCTGAGGTTTGTATGTGTCTGTTGCACTCCTGCTTGTGGCAAAGTCATTAAAACATATTTTGTGGGCAAGTGGACTGTGGCATACAGTTGTGGTCAAAAGTTTGCATACCCTGTCAGAAATCGTGAACTTATGGCATTTATATTGAAAATATGACTGATTTTGCCAAAAGCTGTCTTTTGTTTAAAGTTAGTGATCATAAGAAGCCATTTATTATCACATAGTTGTTTGGCTCCTTTTAAATCATATTGATAACAGAAATCACACAAATGGCCATGATCAAAAGTTTACATACCCTGGAATGTTTGGCCTTGGTACAGACACACAAGGTGACACAAACAGGTTAAAATTGCAATTAAAGATTCATTTCTCACATTTGTGACTTTTTACATTGCATTTAGTGTCTGTGTATAGAAAATAGTGAGTTTGTTAGCTCTCAGCTGGATGCACTGAGCAGGCTAGATAGTGAGCCATGGGGAGCAGAAAAGAACTGTCAAAGACCTGCACAACAAGTTAATGGGACTTTATTAAGATGGAAATGGATATAAAAAGATACCAAAAGCCTTGAATATGCCAGTCAGTACTGCTCAAGCACTTGTTAAGAAGTGGAAGGTTCAGGGATCTCTTGATACCAAGCCAAGGTCAGGTAGACCAAGAGGGATTGCAGCCACAACTGCCAAAAGAATTGTTCAGGATACAAATAAAAACCCACAGGTAACCTCAGAATAAATTATAGGATGCTTTGGAAAAAGACAGTGTGTTTTTTTTTTTTTTGTTTTAAGTAGAACAATAAGAAAATACTTGAACAAAAAATTGCTGTATGGTTGAGTTGCCAGAAAGAAGCCTTTACTGCGCCAATGCCACAAAAAAGCCTGGTTGCAAGACACACTTTTATACAATGGATAGCATGAAAGGAAGCCATCCATTGTATACAACTGTCATGTGACCTGCTGTGATTGGTCAAAGCAGGTCACATGGTACTGGCAATGGGGCTGGTACACAGATCTGTCATTGGCCGTATCTGAGGTACACGGCCGGTGACAGATCGCGCCACAGAGCGGCCTTGCGGGCAGGCACACTGCGCATGCCTGAAAGGACGCCATATGGCTTCCACCCGGAGGGACGAGGTGTTCGCCCGGCCACCATCTAGCTATAGGCCGGCGGCAACTGGTTAAATAAAAGACAGTTTTTTTTGCATGATCAGTCATATTTTCAATATAAATGCCAAAATGTAATGATTTTTGCCAGGGTATGCAAACTTTTGAGCACAACTGTATGTGTGTTGAGTATAGTGGTGAGTAGGCTCAAGTTTTATTTAATGATAACATTTTAGGTACCTCCCACTGTCAGCGCAATTTGGCTACACACAAAATGTCACTTTATTGCTTTAAATCCCTTTTTGTTTGGGTGGAGGGGGGTGTTTGTTCTTGGGTGCCAGAGAGGTTAGGTACACCACTGTGTGCATCCACTGTTATAGCACCATGTTCCCATATTATTTATTTGTTTATTACAGGTACTTATATAGTGCTGTCAATTTATGCAGATATATATATATATATATATATATATATTACATTCACATCAGTCCCTAACTCTCAAGGGGCATACAATGTAAGGTCCCTAACTCACATTCATACATACACATACTTAGGCCAATTTAGACAGGGTCCATTTAACCTACCAGCATATATATATTACATTCACATCAGTCCCTAACCCTCAAGGGGCATACAATCTAAGGTCCCTAACTCACATTCATACATACACATACTTAGGCCAATTTAGACAGGGTCCATTTAACCTACCAGCATGTCTTTGGAGTGTGGGAGGAAACCGGAGTACCTGGAGGAAACCCACGCAGACACAGGGAGAACATGCAAACTCCAGGCAGGTGGTGCCGTGGTTGGAATTCAAACCAATGACCCTAGTACTGCCAGGTGGAAGTATTAACCATTTAGCCACTGTGCTGCCCATATTCTACAAGAATGGCTCCAAGCACACCCGGATTAAGTCAAGCACTGCCCAGAACCTCCCAAATCCCCAAACTGAAACAATCTTTCACTAGAGCCTGGTGGGAAATTCTGAGGAATAGGGAGCATTCAGATTTTCATAACCCTCAAAGAATTGGGGAAATAGTATACTGAGAAAAATCTCAGCTCAAGATTTGCAGGACAGCATTGGAAGAATGACTTAAGATATTCTGAAAGCAAACTGTAGTCCTGTTCTTTATTTGAAGATTTATATCATTAATTGTTAGGTGTCTTTGTGTAATTCTGTTAGCACCTGCATATTGTAGTTTACACTGGCAGTCGGGGCAGTAAAAGGTGATTGAACCGTGGTTTTACCCCCACCTCCCACTTAAACAAGGACACGCAGCTGCATGGTGTTTTGGTATTTACAGGTTTAAAACAGGAGGCAACATATCTTCTCTTAGCCTCCTGTCAAACACCCTCACTTATCACTTTTCACACAAATCACTTTTCAGAGGGGTGGCAAAGGCTGCTGCATGACTGAATGAGTCCTTATTTTTTATTTGCTTTTATTTTGCTTTGCTCCATTAGATTAGATAAACACTGAATAGATCCTGCAAATTGAACCTTAACTGTATACTCTGCTTCGACTGAAGTATGCATGCAGGGCTTTTCTCCTGGTGCTGACCTACTCAACTATGGCAAGTGAATGGGATATACATAAGTTCCCATTGCTTTTTTTGCTTTTCTATGTCCTGACTCAATGAGACACCAGGAATAAAAAGAGATGGTACTTGTGCTGAGAGAGCTACAAGGCTGCCTTTGCTGATTTTCTGAAAAACTAATCCTGTTTAAATGGATATAGTTTCTGAGTCTCTTACATGAAGCATGTAAGCAGCAGCTAAAGTCAAAAGCATACAGTCAGAACTCCTGACTGCCACATGCGTTTCTTGTCACTGGCTTAAATGTATTGAATGCATTGAATCAGCATGACAGCCTACCATGAACATTGGCAACCTACCATTAGCTATGAGCTTTTCAGAAGGAGAGGTCAGCGATGGCAGCTCACATTTTTCACTACGTTTCTTTTAAATTGTTATTATTAATAATGTAAACCTTTTCTTAAAGCTAAACTTCAGGCATATACCTAAACACACAGATGCCATTCATGTATGGAGGCTGTTTAACCTGCCAGAGCATTTATATTTATTTCCATATCCAGGCATTCCACTACTGTATATTAGAAGAACGGTACCTTGATTTGTTAAAGTGGAACAATTCCCTTGTTCAGCCACAAGGGAGAGATGATGAGTACATTAATCTCCAGGATCACAGTTCAGAACACAGGGAATGTTGGGAGATGTAGCCTGGGTGACAACAGTGACAGTGTAATAGCTGTGCTTATAACTACAGGACCCAATAGACCCAGGAAGCAGGTAGGGTTTCTAAAGGGAGTATATATGGTAAACACAGGGAAAGAACAGAAGCGGATGGTGCAGGTGATCTTTTAAGTAGCTGTTCCTGTGAAGTTGTCAAGGGAAAGATTGGAAAACCCTGGAACATTCCATTAGAAATAAGAGTCACTGAGAGATCAAGGTGCTTGGTACTTTGCTCTGGTCCAGCGAATGAGCCACAGCATCCAGCATGGTCTATAGAGAATACAATAGCAATGAAAGTGAGCGCTCTTATGGCAAGCAGCTAAACACTCAAGGAAACCAAACAAAACCTTGTCATAAACGTATAAATATATATATGTGCAGCGCTAATCAGCAAATTAAATGAAGTATATGTGAGAAATGCCCCCAATTATAAGAACATAAATCAGTGACAGTCTCTATAATGAACATAGGGTGATATACAGCTTCAATCCAGTGGTGGTGCACCCAGTGGTAAGGTAAGAATTACGCACTCACCAGAAGCGTAATTTAGTTAGGCAGTATGTAAATCAACAGGGATCCCCTTCACAGGTATAGGTACGGACTGGAACTCAGGATAGGATCTCCCTCAAGCTGATGAGGACATGAGCTCTCAGATGATGTAGGTAGATCCAGCTGGCCAGAGGTCCCTTTAAGAGATAGGTGGGTACAGATACCTGCTTACAGGTGCTTCCCTCTCTGGGTCACACAACTTTTGATGAACCACAATTCTAGCCTACCACTGGGAGCACCACCACTAGATTGAAGCTGTGTATCACCCTATGTTCATTATAGAGACTGTCACTGATTTATGATATCTTATAATTGGGGACATTTCTCACATATACTTCATTTAATTTGCTGATTAGCGCTGCACATATATATTTTTATACAGCATGCTCTATAGGCCCAACTTTGCTGTTCAAGTTCCATAGCACTTCCCATATATCGCACCAAACCAGCTTTACAGTTTGCAGCTTGCCATTCAGAGATCGGCATCAACATTGCGATCTACTGCGCCTCAGAAAGATCAGCGCACTCCACACCTCAGAGAAGCCTCTCCATTGTCACAACCTGTTAATGAGTGGGTCTCTGTTGGGTCTCTGTTTTCAGAAAAAGAAATACTGTAGGCATACTTGTCTATATTTCCATCGCACACATTCCTGGAAATAGGGCTCATCA